CACTCCCTATAGAAAAAAAAAAAAAGCTCTCAGAACAAATAAACAAAAAACCCAACTAGGAGACATGAGGCTGAAGAGAGTTGTTAGAAAGACGAAAGACATGAGCATTTTAGTTCAGAATGAATCACGAAGTGAATGATTCAATTGTACCTGTAGTTACTGTTGATACCATAGATGTGATCCCTCTGAAAATGCTAAAATAGGGAACAGTTATGACAGGCAGTTTAGCCACAAACTTTATCTTGTTCTTTCCTGCTAGTAATTGTATGTATCAGGCTGAGAAAGCTACTCTTAGCTAGGATAAACCTTATACCAATAATTTTGATAATTTGTGAGTCGTGACGTATTTTTCTTCTGGCATCAATTTTTTTTTTTTGAGAGGTTTTCGCTCTAGGGCATGTGCGCTCGACAGACAGACAGAGAGAGACAGAGAGACAGAAAGCGAGAAATCACCCCCCACGGGGGATGGCCACGCCGCAGTCCCTTCTCCTCCATTCTCCTCTCGGGATCTTGGGCACGTATGCACACGCGCCCGGCATGAGTTTTAAGCCACCAGGTCCGGGACGCAAACTGTGGTCGACTACGTGGGAGTCCAGAGACATAGCCATTACGCTAACTGTTGGTCCCTCAATTAAAAAAAAAAGTTTTTTTTTAATTTAATTTTATTTATTCTTGTTTAATTTGACCAGAGAGAGACATACAGAGAGAGTTCTGAAGGTAGTGCTATGCCAGAGAGACAGAAATAAGAGAACAAAAAATACCAAAAAACAATAACAAGAAAATGGCTAACTTAACAGTAGGGACAAGTCTGGAAATATTGATATTAATATTGATTTTAATATTCATATAATGAATATTTAAATATTGATAATATTCATATAAAGAATGTTAATAAATTCTCCAATCAAGAGACACAGACTGGCTGAATCCATTAAAAAAAAAATCTGTTGCCTACAGGAAACGTACCTCATGGATAAAGACATACAGAGACGGGGGCTGGCGAGTGGTGTGGCAGTGGAAGGCACTGGACTCCCACATGGCCGACCGCAGTTTGAGTACTGCACCTGACGGCTTGCTCTCTCTCTCTCTCTCTCACTCTGTCCCTCCTTTGTCAAATTAAAATAAATAAAGTTACATTTAAAAATTATTTAGAGAAATAAAGACATACATAGACTAAAAGTGAGGGGCTGGAAAAAGCTATTCCATGCAAACAAATCAAGAAAGGGCTGGAGTTGCAATACTAATTTCAGATAAAATCGGCTTTAAGACAAAAACTGTAAGACAAAACAAAGGAGGGCATTAGAGAGTAGGAAAAGGGCTAATTCCTCAAGAAGATAGTAACATTTATAAGTATCTATGCACCCATTCGGGAGCAGCCAAACATGTGAAGGAAAGACTGTTAGCTCTAAAATAGAGAGAGAGAGAGACTGCAAGATTTTTTCCTTCTTTTCTAATAATAATCCTGAGAGGAGAACGGAGAAGTGATTGTGGCATAGCCATCCTCCCTGGGGGGTGATTTCTGAGAGATTTTTTGCTATAGGGTGCGTGAGCTCGCTCGAGAGACAGAGACAGAAAATAAGAAATTACCCTCCTGGGGGAGGGCCATGCCACAATCTCTCCTCCATTCTCCTCTCGGGATTTTGGGCATGCATGCACATGGGCCCATTGTGAGTTTAAACTGACGGGTCTGGAATCTGAACCGCAGTCGACTACTGGGTAGTCCACTGACATATCATTATGCCAATTCAATTAATTGTTAGGCCTGGGTTAACAACTGCATTCCTGGGTTCAAGCCTACTTGAGTGCAGTACAAGTTTGATGTACTTTGGGATTTAATTTGCTAACATTGTACTCAGGATTGTTTATAGTTATGAGTAATATTGATCTTATTTTTTTTCCCATAGTTTTACCATAGGGCACAGGAGACAGAGGAAGGGGAGTGACTTCACTCCCTCCCCACCCTACTCCACTCCCCAGGGATGGCCATGCTGCAGCCCCCCTCTTCCATTCTTCATGCACACACACACCCCGCATGAGATTTGGGTTACCAGTTTGAGACTTGAACGGGTTGGCCACATGGGGGCTCAGCTCCTTGGCTGCCACGTTACCTGCTGGCTTCTACTGACCTTTTTCTTACCTTTGCTTAGAAGTTCACCATTTTTATCTTCTATTCAAAGGACCAGTTCAGTTTCATTTCTTTTTTTCTCTATTGCTTATACACTTATTTTGCTAATTTTAATTTGCTTTTACTATTTCCCTCCATTTATATACATTGGATTTTATTTATTTTTTTGAGAGGTTTTTGCCATCAGGCGTGTGTGCTTGCCAGAAAGACAGAAAGCGAGAAATCACCCTCCAGAGAGGATGGCCATGCCACAATCCCTTCTCCTCCATCCTCCTCTCGGGATCTTGGGCACACATGCACATGCACCTGGCGTGAGTTTAAGCCACTGGGTCCGAGACTTGAACTGTGGTCGATTGCATAGGAGTCTAGTGATATTGCCATTATACCAACTGCTGGTCCCTTGATAGCTTTTAAAATATTATTCAAAATATTTTTCTTTAACCCAAGGCTTATGTAAACCTGTGTTAATTTCCAAATGTTTGGAGATTTTCTAGATATATTTTTGTTATGGTTTATAATTTTACTATGGTCAGGAATCCTCCATGTTATTTCAAGCCTTTTAAGTGTATTGAAACTTGAAAAAAAATAAAGGTAACCAATATGAAGATAACCTGAATATAGATTTTCTCCGACTATAATATAAGTTTCCAGAGGACAAGGAGCAGACTTCTTTCTAAGCAATTCCTATGAAGAGTCCAATAATATGCTTTCTTCTCCGAGCCTCACTGCTGCAGGAAAATGATCAAGCCCTGAGAAGCAGGGAACACAGTGGTCCTAGCATTATTCCTGCAGGTTTCATTGTCCGGTAGTTGTCAAAGGAAAGATACTTTAAAAGACAGAGAAATCAGAAGCCAGTCTACTACACCACAAGGGGGCAATGTTTAAACACTAGCAATATGAAGTGACAAGAGGATTGGCTGGCTTAGCTTTTTTTTTAAACACCTTGGTGAGGGCTGAAGCCACAGTAAGTAGCCTGGTGACCTCTGCCTCCTCTCTGTGATCTTTAGAAAAGGTTGGCTCTACCAGCAAGTGGTGTGGCGGTTGAGTCGCTGGACACTTGCACATGGCTGACCATGGTTCAAGTCCTGGTGGCTTGCTTTTTCACTTTCCTTCTCTCTCTCTCTGGTCAAATTAAAGTAAATGAATAAATAAAATAAAAAGTTGGCTCCAAGTCTCTTTATCCTCAGAGAATGGCTACTGGGGGACCAAGGGCAGAGGAAATGGACAGTGGGAGAGGCAGAGCAGGTCTTTCCAGTGGTCAGATGCCGCAGCTGTCAAAGACACCCAGGACTGCCTGCTGGGCAAAGTAATTGTGGTAGAAATCCCCACCTAGAATCTGAGTACACTCGGACAGTGGGTTCTCAAACTCTATCACCTGCAGGGCTTGTTTTTCTTTTTTTGGGGAGAGGTTTTTGCTATAGGGTGCATGCGCTCGCCAGACAGATACAGAAAGCGAGAAATCACCCCCCAGGGGGGATGGCCACACCGCAATCCTTTCTCCTCCATTCTCCTCTCAGGATCTGGGGCAAGCACGCACACGTGCCCAGTGTGAATTTTAAGCCACCGGGTCCAAGACTCACGGCGGGCGCATGTGCGTGTGTGCCCAAGATCCCGAGAAGAGAATGGAGAAGGTATTGTGGTGTGACCATCCCCTCTTGGGGGTGATTTCTCGCTTTCTGTCTCTATGTCTCTCTCTGTCTGGCGAACGCACACGCCCTATAGCGAAAAAAACACATCAAAAAAAAAAAAAAAAAAAAAAGAGTCAACAGGAATGAATTTTTAGATTTGTCTTAAGAATTCCTTTGGGCAAGGATTACAGCACTCCTGTCTGTCTGACAAATATTTCAGAAGTGGAATTCATTTATTTATTTTTAAGAATGATTTTACTGGGACCAGCAGATGGTGTGGTGGTTAAGGCGCTGGACACTCCCACATGGCTGACCACAGTTCTAGTCCTGGACCTGGTGGCTTGCTTTCTCACTTTCCCTCTCTCGTGCTCTCTGTGTCTCTCTATGGTCAAATTAAAAATAAATGAATGAATACAAATTAAAAAAAAAAGAATGATTTTACTTATTCATTTATTTATTTTAATTTGACGAGAGAGAGAAAGTGAGAAAGCAAACCACTAGGTCTAGGACTCAAACTGTGGTTGGCCATGTGAGAGTGTCCAATGCCTTAACCACGCCACCTGCTGGTTTCCCCAGAAGTGGAATTTATTCTAAATTTCTATACACATCCTTTCTTTCTCTTTACCTAACAACTGGGTGATAGTCCAGTAAAGAGTAATGGAGGTGAGACCACCAGTTGGTGTAGTCGACTGGTTTGAGTCCTGCACCGGTGGCTTAAACTCACGCCAGGCGCATGTGCGTGCATGCCCAAGATCCTGAGAAGAGAATGGAGAAGCAATTATGGTGTGGCCATCCCCCTTGGGGTGGGTGATTCCTCGTTTTCTGTCTCCCTGTCTGGCGAGTGCACACATACTATAGCAAAAACCTCTCCAAAACAAAAGAGAGTAATGGAGGGTCTCCAAGATTTTGTACTGGGGTTTTCACAAACATTCAGTGCAAAATGATATATATATATTCCACTACACTTTGGATAATTTCCTCATCTTTCCTAGACTAAAACAAAAAAACTGGAGCCAGCTGGTGGTATGGTGGTTAAGATACTAGACTCCCACCTGGCCCATGGTTTGAATCCCAGACCTGGGAGCTTGCTCTCTCACTTTCTGTCTCTGGTGAGCATGTGTGTCCTATAGCAAATAACAAAATAATAGTTTGTTTAAAAAATAATTATAGTAAAACACAATATTTTCACCCAAACTGAAACTACCCATTGAATGTAACTCCTCATTGCCCTCTCCCACGCCCCTGGCAGCCATCCTATCTCTACTCTACATTTGGACTCAGTCTCTAGTTCACTCAATAAGAGCATCCACTGCTAACTAGTGGGACTGCTTCTTTATGGGACACCCTTCTTGCATACATGACTGAGTTTATTGTACAGAAAGGAAACAAAGCTGAGATGGAGAAGGAAAAGTGGAGACATGAACTGGAGAATTGGGCCTCCTATCCACAGGCCTCAGCAGCCCTGCCACGGATCCGGCCGATTCTTTCGCATCAGGAAGTTGATCTTGCGCGCCATCTCCATGTTGTAGATCCGCCGGCAGGTTTCATAGCTTTCTCGCTGCCGGCGGCGGCAAGGCTTCTCATAGTACCGCCGTCGCTTAATGTCCTCGATGAGCCCATCCATGGTGAGGATTCTGTATAAAGGCAGGCAATAAGGTTAGATACTTGGGCTCATTATTACTCTTTTCTAGTTTCACAGATGGTCCCAGGTGCAGAGCATGACACCTTAGCAGAGTGTGCCATGTGCCTGGGCCAGATCCGGGAGCTATTTTATTACCAACCTAAGCTCTAGGCTCCTGAGACCTCTGCCTCCACTCTGCAATCAGTCTCTCTCTCAAGCCCTCATCAAGTGGTCCTAAGATCAGAAAGCACCTTCTGCTGCTGCCTTCCATCCCTAGCGATGTTTATATGGCCCCATTCCTGCAAAAAGTAAGTCACAAACACAATTGAAGACAAGAAGGCTGAGACATGGCTATTATAACTGGAAAAAAGGGGCACAGAGGAAGAAAATAAAAATCAGAAAAACTACCAGCTACCTCTGCCCAGCAGGGAACCCCATTTATTGCTGCTACATTACATCACAAAGCTCGAGATAACAGATTGAACATGAACCTGAAAAGAATTGGGCTTTGGGTAAATTACAAATGTGAGTAGACATGGGAAACACTGTCCTATGGGATCCTCTCCCAGGCTCCTGCTGTTTTTTTTAACAAGAATGATTTGTAGGGTACTAGAGAATTGTTATTTGTTCGGATTACTCAGTTTTAGGGGCAGAGGAACAGGAGGCAAGGGAACTGGAGCAAACTCCCAGAATTGGGAAAAGCATGTTAATGCAGATCCTGCTGGAAATACAGTCATGTCCAGAAGTCACGTATGCAGAAATGGATACAACACTAGCGTTATAGTAAAGCGGTGAGGTACCAAAGACTAAAAGATGCATTCTGGCCCACAAAGGATCTCTCTCACTGGCTTTCATCTTCAGTTTACTCTTAAATTTTTTTTCCTGAGTTTTCCCCCTTTGGATGTGTGTACTTGCCAGAGAGAGAGAGGGAGGGAGGCAGGCAGGCAGGCAGTGAGAGGGAAAGTGAGAAATCACCCTTTTGAGGGAGATGGCTATGCCAGCAATCCCTTCTCCATTCTCCTCCTGGGATCTTGGGCAAACATGTACATGTGCCTGATATGATTTTCAAGCCACCAGGTCCAGGACTCGAACTGCAGTGGCCATGTGGGAATCCAGCAATGTAACTGCTACGCTGTTTGCTGGCCCCTATCCTTAAGAGTTACTATTGGGACCAGTAGTTAGTGTAATGGCTATGTCACTGAACTCCCACGTAGTCGACTGTGGTTCGAGTCCCAGACCCAGTGGCTTAAACTCACACCAGGTGCATGTGCATGTGTGCCCAAGATCCCGAGAGAATGGAGGAGAAGGGATTGCAGCATGGCCATTCCACCCCCCGGGGGGAGATTTCTCACTTTCTGTCTCTCTGTTTCTCTCTGTCTTCTGGCAAGCACATGTGCCCTATAGCAAAAAAACAAAAAACAAAAAACAAAAAACACCTCTCTAAAAAGGGTTACTAGCCCTACAGATTCTGACTGTAAATGTTCTTTCTGGTTCTATGTAATTCCTTTAACCTTTACTAGTGGGTCTCCATAATGATCCACAATGGAATAATTTCCTAGAGTTTTCAAAAGATACTTATGGGGGCCATGGGTAGGTGTGGTAGTTAAAGTGCTAGATTCCTACATAACCAACTGGGGTTTGAGTCTCAGACCTGGCAGCTTGAGAATCACGCCAGGATGTGTGTATACGTGCCCGAAATCTCTAAAGGAGAAAGGAGGGACTGCGGCATGGCCATCTCCCTGGGGGTGATTCTCTCTCCCTCCCTGGTGAGTGCATGTGTCCTACGGCTAAGATCTGGGGGGAGGAAGGGGAAGTGCTGATATCTAGCACCCACCAGAGACTATGATTTAGTTGGTCTAGAGTGTGGCCTGCAGACACCAAGAATGCTTTATGAGTCTCCCAGGAAATCTTAACGTAGAACTGGGATTGAGAACTGACCAAGACATTGCTGACTCCTAAATCCTTACCTCTTGGCCCAGTTTTACCTTAGAGGTGGACTAGTTATTTCCTAGTGCCTCAAACCCTACACAAAGCTGAATTTAGGACCAGCCCTATAGCCTGGCAGTTAAGAGGAGCTAGATCCTATTAAGGCCAACCACAAATTCAAGTCCTGGTCGTGGTGGCTTGAGGAACATGACCAGTACGTGTCAAAACTCCCAAATTCCTTCATTCTCCATCTCCTATATATGCACTTCTTACATATAAGCGATTGAGTTTATTGTAGAGAATGGTAACACAAAATTGAGGTAGCGATATAAACAGGAGGAGGGTTTTCACACTGGGCCCCACAGGGCAACTGCAATTCAGATAGATCCCTGTCTAGTGTGGACAACACAGAAAGACCTTCTCTTCCTTCATTTTAAAAAAGAGAGGGAGAGAAATAAAAATATTAGATATACAGACTTTGGAGGGACCAGCAGTTGGCGTAATGGCTATGTCGCTGGACTCCCATTGTGGTTCAAGTCCCAGACCCGGTGGCTTAAACTCACACCGGTTCATGTGCGTGTGTGCCCATCCCCCACGAGGGGTGATTTCTTGCTTTCTGTCTCTCTTTGTCTTTCTGGTGAGTGCACATGCCCTATAGCAAAAAAAAACAAAAACAAAAACAAAAAAAAACACCAAAAAACAAAAAACCCAAAAAAGAAAAAAGAAAAAACACAAAACCTCTCCAAAGAGACTTTGGGTCGGTAGATGGCATAGTAGTTACATTGAGGACTCCCACATGGCTGACCATGGTTCAAGTCGCAGACCTGGTGGCTTGATACTCCACGTGTGTGTGTGCATGCCCAAGATCCCAGGAGGAGAAGGAACTGCGGTGTGACCATTCCCCTCAGGGGTGAATTTTCACTTTCCCTCTTACTGTCTCTCTGGTGAGCACATGCGCCCGATGGCAAAAACCTTAAAGACAAAAAAGGTTTTGAAACAAGCAACTTTTTCCCAGTAAACTTGTTATAGGGTGCATGCACTCACCAAAGAGAGACAGAGAAGAGAGAAAAAGAGAGCCCCCTCCAGAGGAATGGCCACACTGCAGTCTTTCCTCTTGCATTATCTTGGAATTTGGAGCACGAATGCACATGCACCTACCATGTTCTTCAAGTCGCTGAATCTGGGACTTAAACTGTGCAGTCAGCCATGTGGGATACAGTTGCCTTAACCACATGCCATTAGCTAGCTCCTGAAACAAGTGATTTTTTCTTTTTTTTTTACTAAGTAAATGCCTGAGCTGTCAAGCAGAAAAGGCAAGAAAAAAAAAAAATAAAGGTAGAAAGGAAAGAACGTATTGACAGCATTGGTAAATGGTGTTCCCTGGACATTCTAATTACTTCCAGAACAGACCAAATATATTTTCTCCCATATCCTGTACCTTCTTATAATCCTGAAAGCACAGATTATCTTCAAATGCTCAAGTTCCTACAGTTGGGGCATATACTTGACTTCATCTTTAGTAGAAAAGCAGGAAGAGCTTTGTAGAACCCAAGAAATATACAGGGAGGATATTACTAATGATGCTCTGCTCCCTAAGTTAGTTCAAGGACTAGCAGACCAAGAGCTTTAGAGTAAACAGATCAGCCTGGCGTTCAGGCGCCTGGCAACCTAACACTGGATGAGAAACCAGCTGCCAGTTTTAGTGAAATTCAACTGATTATGTAAAGGGAGAAAGAGCTTTGTAGAACCCAAGAAATATACAGGGAGGATATTACTAATGATGCTCTGCTCCCTAAGTTAGTTCAAGGACTAGCAGACCAAGAGCTTTAGAGTAAACAGATCAGCCTGGCGTTCAGGCGCCTGGCAACCTAACACTGGATGAGAAACCAGCTGCCAGTTTTAGTGAAATTCAACTGATTATGTAAAGGGAGCCAGGCTGCCTGAAGCGGGGAGGTGGAGTGGCAGACTCACATGTCACTGTAGCCAGCCTACGTCAGGACAACGTGTATGCAGAAAGACTCAATGGGCCGACGCTCACTCACCAGGAGTAAAAAGGGCCAACTGGGCACACTTCCAGGGGGCTTGCCTTTCCTTGCATGGGGGCCAGCCAATCACACAGGGCTTCCTAGCAACCTCCACTCTCCATCTCATCCCAGGGCACAGGGAGGGCCCTGGTTATGTAACAGGCGTTCTGTGGCGGTCTCGCTGGGCAGACACATGGCTGCTTCCTTTGTAAGATTCTGTGCTCCAAACATGGTAAAGCTTTCACTCTCTCTCTCGCCTTTGTTCTCTTACCTAATGTTGTAATTAGACCACAGAACAAGCAACTTATTTTTAAACTATTAATTATCAGAAAGCTAAGAGAGAGGTAAAGAGAAGTTAGCGTTATTCAGAACAAGATAGCTAGAGAGAGCACATTAGGGAAAAGCAGGAGAAAAGGATAAAACGTGTGAGAAAACACTGTGTTTAACAGGTAAGATGAGAGAAGACTGGGACATTCCAGAATCAGTCTGCTCAGATATGTAAGCTTAAAAGTCCTTGCCTATGGACCAACAGATGGTTTAACGGTTACATCACTGAACTCCTATGTGGCCGACTGTGGTTTGAGTTCCAGACCCTGTGGCTTGATACTCACGCAGGGCGTGTGCGTGCACCCAAGATCCTGAGGAAAATGGATTGTGGTGTGACCATCCCCCTGGGGTGTGATTTTTCATTCTTGCTTCCGGTCTGTCCATCTGGTGAGTGCATGCACCCTATGGCAAAAATCTCTTAAAAAAAAAAAAAGAAAGGCCTTCCTAGAATATTACTCTAAGAGAAAAATATTTACTTTTCCCCCCCAAGCCTAAAATACAACTATGGGACATACATGAGGGGACTTCGAAAAACCTGTAGAAAATGTAATTAAAAATACAAGTGGGGGGGACCAACAGGTAGTGTAATAGCTATGTTACTGGACTCTCGCGTAGTTGGCCACGGTTCAAGTCTTGGACCTGGTGGCTTATAACTCACACCGGCAAGTAAAAACAAATAGGGACCAGCAGTTGGCACAATGGCTATGTTGCTGGACTCCTATGTGGTCGACTGCAG